TAGATAATATTATGAAAAGGATTGCTAGATAGAGAGGTATACTCTTATCTTATAGATGTGGACTTATTCTTGCACATGCCTATCTTGCAAACATCCCAATTTACTTTCTCTCATTCCTAAAATTTCCTATGTGGGTGACAGAGATGATAAACACTCAAATGTCTCATTTCCTTTGGAATGACTTTGAGTGGTAGAGGAAATTTCACCTATAAATTAGAGTGCCTAGTATGTATGAATAAACAATTAGGAAGTTTAGGTGTTCCGAATTTGCAAGATGACAATATATATGTGCCGGTTGGGTTCTTGGGTTAAGATATACACTATGTGGGGAGGAAAAATTGGAAAATTATTATAGACCACAAATACAACACTATCAGACCTATTTTTTTTCACCTTCCCATTTACTCTAGGTTTTGGAAGGGGTTATGTCCATAGTGAAAGCTATTTAATTTGGTTTTAGGTTGCAAATTGATAATGGTGCTCAAACCCGATTCTGGGAAGACACCTGGCTTGGCACCTCCCTTTTGGCCATCCAATTTGGGCTACTCTATGTTATTTGCAGTGAGACTTTTAAAAGCATTAGTAACATTTGGGATGGACATTAGCTTAAGCTTACTTTCAGAAGGAATTTTGATAGTTGGCTTATGGATCAATGGTACCAGTTAGTAGAAATGGCAAAAAGCTTAGAGCTTTCACATGACTTAGACTCTCTCATTGGGCTATTAGAGAACAAAAGGCAATGATCTACTAGCCCCCTATACTATGCGATTAAGTTTAGGGGGGGGGCCATTTTATGTATATTCGTACTATTTGGACCCCTAGGGTTCATCCAAATTTTTTATTTTCCTCTCGCTGTTCTGATAGAACAAACTATTACTATGAATAACTTGAGGAAAAGTGACATCATAAAACCCTTAAACTGTGTGTTTTTCGATGGGGATGAATCTATTCAACTCATGTTTAATTGTGTGGTAGCCAAAAAAACATTTGGCCTCGTATTAGGGAACATTTTGGTGTGTAGTTGATTTTGATTATATATCTATAGCTAGGTTCTAGCTTTCTAATAATAGGAATTCAGCCATTAATTATGTTTGATCTACTGTTATATGATGTATATAGAAGTTTAGGAACCCCATGTTTCTTAATAACATCCATTGGCTATCTATCAAACATGTATGGTGGAATACCTGAAAACTGCCAGGTACTGTATGGTTCTGTCCGCAGAATTGAGCAAAGAGAAATTTGAGGACTTCACTAGTTTCGTGAAAAAACTCCTATAGAAACCATTGGATGTTAGCTGGAGTTGATAGATGAAGGGCCAGTTCGTTTGCTGGCTTCTAGAATAAGCCGGAATAAGCTGCCCCTTACCTAGCTTATTCTAGAAGCCCAACCAACTTTATTTTTTAGAAGTCTACTCATTAAGACTTGTAAAAATATATTTTTGGTTGAGCTTCGAGAATAAGCTGGGTACGGGGCAATGTTTTCTGGAAGCCCAAAAAATCTATCAAAAGAACTCGCCCGAAGCTCTTCTGCTACCTCAATCTCTTCTACCTCAGGAATCGATATCTGTAACCAGATCAACATCTTGGGACAATAAATGCCCCAATTTCATTCTCAAGAGAAGCCTAGAGTAGGGACAAAAGGCACTAACCTGAGCACAATCTGTCAGCTGGATCTCTGTTGGTCTCCACAACCAACGGTTGCACACCCAATGAAGGTCAGTCGTGCTTTTTTCGAAGTTCAGGCTTGAACTTTACAAGATGAGTTGGAGATTCAGAAAAATCCTGGTTAATATGCGTGCATGCGCTTTTACCAGGAAGTAGTGATCAATGATCTTGTCCTTAGTTTGATGTATTTCTTTTTTCTGTTGCACTTTTTTGCTCTCTAGTTTTTTGAGTTATTTTCTTCCGAACTGCTTTTGGAGTTGTTGTATGGATGTTTATTCCGTTCTTTAGCAATGGAACCGGGGATGGACTCCCCTTTTACATAAAATTAGTTGGGTTTTGCGGAGTGCCACAGTTTTGCGAGTTTTTTCTTCTTTCGTCTCACACTCAACGAAGAGGCAATTTTTCCAAGTGCTTCGATTTTGCCGAGTATTTTCCTTCATCACTTGGTTTAGGTAGTTGTTTTTCGAGTGGCCAGTGTTCGCACACGAACACGTCACCATGTACCTTCAACGCCGAGGGTGATGCACCGCAGCTCACGTCCGGGAGCGCGGTACACAAGCAGTCCGGCTGGTGCTTTTGAGGACCCGAAACCCCACATGCTCGGGAGGGACCCCGTCGGGGTGCACGGCGGCTATGGGCTTCCCTAGGTCGACCTGATCGCCCCTAGGGACTCGAGATTCGCCGCCCTGCAAAGAAGAAGAACGAACGAAGAACGAGAAAGAAGAAGAACAAGGGAGAAGATAAAAGTAAAGGTAAATATGATAGATCGATTTCTCGATTGTGTGTTGTTCAATAGCCCGTCAACTCTTACATATATATGAGGCGGATGGACTTTTCGTACAAGAAAAGGACTCAAATCCAGTCCAAAATATCAAAAGTTAACCTAATTCGGATTAGGAGGGCCGAAACTTCCGGTCTGGACCGGAACTTCTGGGCTCAAATTATATCAAGTAGCCCTTTTGCACTGAATCTGCAGAACACATACGACTTCGGATCACGATGGTCCCAAAAGCAAAGTTGTAGATCTTGCAATGTAGAGAAACTCTTCAGTTGATCACTTTTTCTTCCGAGGTCATCTTAAGGTTGAATTCAGCCCCACAAATCTGCAAATAATGTTAAAACTCCAGTTTTCGGGGCGCACTGCGTGCAAACTTTTGGTTTAGCCCGGAACCTCCTCGGAAGTTGCCCGGAACTTCTGGGGCACACTTTTGAAGCACACTGTTTTGACTCTAACTTTTGCATATGAACTACGATTTAGATGTTTTTATATCTAAATCGACTGTTATGACGAGACGAAGACAATTCCTGTAGAAAGTTTTCCCATATGAGGCCATCTTGGGGCGTAATCAGCCGAATAGTGTTCTGGATACAAAATCCCAGTACTTCGAACACAATTTCGGCCTTAGAGATGAGACGGGATGACTATGGCTCAAATATCAAAGTTTCTCCTTTTGATGATACGGAACTTTCTCACTTTGAACACTTTTCTATTTGAGGTCTTCTTAATTATATTTTCGACCATGCCAAAATCTGGTGTCAACAGCTAGCATAATGCACTCAGCAAACCGGCGGTCACTCGGTAAAAAACCATCTTCCGGTAGTAACTACTTGTAACAAGTGTACAATTGAACATATATTATTCCCCAACAGACCTACTGAGTACTTGTCCAAATTGGTTGTCATTCTTCAGTGAGCAGTGATATACGGACGATACGTTTTCAGCTGATTCTTGAACAGTGGATAAAGTCATCCATTAGATTGCATCATTTTGCAAATCAGCACCGTACAAGGTGGGCATCGTTCAGATTTTGTCCATGCACTGCCGTGTGCAGAGCAATTTCGTTCTTCAGTGAAGCTTGCTTGCTAGTGCCAAGGACGTCGACCCTATGGACTTCATAATTTCCATGAGTCGCGGCACTGACCCCCTGCTTCCTCCAATCAACTAGTCTAGACCTTTGCCGCATTACGCTAGGTACTATGTCCTTCAAAGCTGTCCTGGTGGCACTGTCTTTTTATGTTTTTGTTTCTGAACTAACTTTGTACCGAGTATGACGGTGATGTTTGTCTTTGTTTACAAAGTTGAGCACACCTGCTACGTGCCAAAGCTTCCAGGTCACGTGGGCATATGCATAGCTGGTCCGCAAACATGCATGCATGCCAAGTGACGCGTAGGCCCTGCAACCTCCAACCTGTCGTGCCCCCGTGATTTGCTGCAGTACATCCGCCGGTGTGTGCCATGGCACCTCACCCCGCAACCAAAGACTGATCGACATAAGCAAATGTGAGAGTATCAGATGATATGGAGCCTTAGGCTATCCGGTGATACGAGCTCCGGCGAGCCATTGGATCTGTAATCCAAGGGTCACCAACCGAGGTCCTAGACTTGCGTGTAAATGTCAAACTCCTTGAGGTTTCGGCGAATTTGCAGGAGATCAACGCGCCAGGCGCCAGCCTTGGATCTAAGATACAACGGCTCGCGTGAGCTGTTATCATGCTCTACATCACCTGATATTTTCCCAGCAAATGTAGCGCTCCAGCAAGTCTACATGGTACTAATCTGCACACATGACAACATTCGACAGCTTTCGGTTTTGTTCCATGCGCCCGCGCACTGTTTTTGTTTGTTGCCAACGTCCCGGTCACAAGCCCCCCTTGACTCTCCAAATAGGCGTGCCCACGATCTCAAACGGCTCGGCTCGCGGGAGCTGTTATCATGCTCTACATCACCTGATATTTTCCAAGCAAATGTAGCGCTCCAGCAAGTCTACATGGTACTAATCTGCACACATGACAACATTCGACAGCTCTCGGTTTTGTTCCATGCGCCCGCGCACTGTTTTTGTTTGTTGCCAACGTCCCGGTCACAAACTCACAACCGGATCAAGGTTAAGCCCCCCTTGACTCTCGCAAATAGGCGTGCCCACGATCTCAAACGGCTCGCTCGATCGGGGATTGGTCGCCGGGTCTCGATCACCGCCAGCCCGTGGCCGCGAAACAGTACCAGAATTCTGGCGATCGAAAACGACACTGACGATAATTGAAACTGCCAACGTACGTAGATGGGCCTGGCTAATTAAAAACGGGGAGATTCCATTCAATTCTCAGGTTTTGTCTGCCCTTTTCTGCGTGACCAGTACGTGGCGACACCAAAACTAGCCGTAGAGTACCTACTAGCCAGGTGGTGCCGCGGAATTATTGTCGCTTGGGTTTGTTGCTTCCGTGACCCCCTGCAAGGCTGCAACCTGCAAGTTGGGCCTGTGGACGTGGCTGTATTAAGCAAGCGCGAGGGAAGCAATCATATTCTAAAGCTAGTAGCATAACACCAACTAAGGGATGGATCCGCTTGATGAGGAGTCCTTCTTGGAGGAGCTCATGCCGCTTCACCGGGAGGAGGCGCCGGCGCCGCCGTACCCGGGCAGCAACAGCATGATGACGATCAGCGACCTCCTCTTCTACGGCGGCGGCAAGGGCTGCACTGCCGAGGAGAGGAGTGGCCCATTTCAGCAGCCCATGCTGCCCTCGCCGCCGGCCGTGCGTCCGCACCCGCACCAGGAGTTCGACTTCAACTACCTGAGCGAAGTGTGCAACCCCTGGAGGAGCTGCATCCCTGACCCTCCCGCGGTCGTCCAGGCTGCTGCCGGCAAGGCGCCGCTCACTCTTCCCCTCCATGACGCTATTGCGAGCTCGTCAACGTTCGTGTTCGGGGGAGGGGCCGGGGAGAGCTCGGGGATGAGAAGCATGCCGGCCTCCGGCACCCACCCGGAGAGCAAGCTCAATGCCGGAAGCGGAACTCCGTCAAAGAACCTCATGGCGGAAAGGCGGCGCCGGAAGCGGCTCAACGACCGCCTCTCCATGCTCCGGTCCACCGTGCCCAAGATTAGCAAGGTGTGCTGTCGCATCGCCCTTAATTTCTGTATATCGAATTATCTATGAGTTGTGGACCTTAATTAACATGTGTAGATCTAATTAACCGATCAATCGAACTGCAGATGGATAGGACTGCGACCCTCGGGGACACCATAGACTACGTCAAGGAACTGACCGAGCGGATTAAAACCGTGGAGGAGGAGATGGGCACCACGCCCGAGGAGCTGAACCTGCTCAAAAATTTCTCCAGCGGTGGCAACGAGGGGACGCCGACGAGGAGTTCCACCAAGTTATGTGCTAACGTCGAGAACCAAGGCGGGGGCGACACGAAGATTGAGATCTGCTGCTCGACAAACCCCGGAGCGCTGATTGCGACGGTGACCGCGCTGGACGTGCTGGGGCTGGAGATCGAGCAGTGTGTCGTGAGTTGCTTCAGTGACTTCGCCATGCAGGCCTCGTGCTCACAAGTAAAGTCCTTCTGAAATACTAGCTCTAAGTTTTCCTTCATTGCATGCCAATGAAATTCGATCGCCAATGTCCATTCACGGCGTGCCCGGTGTGTAGGCGGAAGGGAAGAGGCAGGTGATAAGCACAGACGAGATCAAGCAGGCATTGTTGAGGAGCGCAGGCTACGGGGCAAGGTGTCTCTAAGCTATAGCTAGCTAGAGATACAAGCGGTTTGTAATCTCGATGAATACGTGCTAGATTTGCTCTTTTTTATGAATTAGTGTAGGAGTTTTTTGGGGAATATCTTCGATGAGTATTTGTTGTCACCGGATTGTCTTCTTTGTGTGCGTGAGATGCATGAATGATTGAATGGAGTGGATACCCATTGTTGGAGTGTTAATTTGGTTGCACACTCTTACGGCTTCTTAGTCCAATTTACGTACAGGCCGGGTGTTACTCACAATGCTTTGTATCACTTGATGCTACATTCTAAGATAACAAAGTCGCCCTTTATGAAAGAAAAAAACTCTTACAGCTTCTTGTTTCTTCTGTTAGTTTAGCTGTTTCTGGACATGAATGGCTGGTCATGTTTTCTCAGACGCTTCATAAACTTGATAGGAATCTCAAGTCTGATAGTTAGGAGGACCTATTTCCTATAGTTTCTGTTAGGAAATTAGTGCCTGAAATTTCTGACCATAACCCTCTATGACTTTCGTCCGGGGATGAAGAGAGAGAGGCACCTAAAACCCGTGAATTCTGTTTTGACCTGTCTTGTGTTAAAAACGATGAATTCCTAGGTCTGGTCGATAAGATCTGGAATAGGACTGTGCAGGCCTCAGATCCTATTGACGTTCTTGACATCAAGCTCAATAAAATTAAGATATATTTTAAAGAGGTAATTACAGCAATGGTGCCTAAACTTGGTTCTTTGGTGCAAATACGGTTCGAATCACGTTTGCATACGTCCGCGCTGCTGACCAGGATGCCAGCATGGTCGTGGGACCCAATGTCAGCGAGTGCCATCACGCACAGAGGGGTGTGGCCGCGCGGCTGGGTGAAATATTATGGAAACCCCCTTCGTTCTGTTTATTTTTCGCACATAAGCCGTGACCCTCAATCCCCTTTCCACCGTGGCGGCGCGCTCAAGTAGGCAAATAAAAAGGACTGCGGCGAGGGCCTCCTCCGTGACCGTGTTCTTCACCAGGCACACCGGTTGCGCAGCCGGCACGCCCTACACCCTGCCGCGGTGCTCGAGGCATGCCGCGTTGAGGCCGTCCGTGCCCAGCGCCAGCGCGTCCAGGAGCATGTCCGCCGACTGCCACAGCTCGTCCGCCGGCTTGTGCAGCGGCAGCACGTGCGCCTTTGCCCACGGCTCCAGTTGCTGCAGTACCTCCAGACTCTACGGCGCAAGGTACCTCCTCCGTTCCTCCTCATCCTCCCGCCGCTCGGCCATTGGTCCTCCTCTGCTACTCACGGCGCTCCTACACCTGTCTCAAGGGCGACTTGTGTGGGCACAGAGATGCGCCTGCTCGACGTGTATGCAATGAAGGTGTGACACAGGGCCATGGTTTTTGGTGTGACAGTATGAGGTAACATTGGGTCTGAATTCAGGAGGTCCTCTTAATTCTGTGGTTTGTGATAATTTGAGTAGATCACATCAGTTATTACTGGAGCCTCTTATTAGTGTGTGAACTGTTTATTAACAGGATCGACAAACCATGGCAAGGAAGGGAGAGAATTGTGATTGCTAATCTTGCTAGCAAGAAAGAGGTTCTGGAGAAGAAGCTGAAAGAGAAAGATGGTGACATAGAAGCTCTCAAGAAGAAGCAGAGAATGGAGAAGAGAATGATTGCAATGGAGATCAGTTGCTATCCAGAGATAGGATGATAATGTTTTGCTATATTAATGTATTTTGGTTTAGTCGCAATCATGTTTGCAATGGCTGTCAGGTCCTGATGCATTTTGTTTTAATGTATTTTGGTTTAGTTGAGACAAAATTAGTATTTTGATGAAATCAATGAGATTTACTACTGAAATGCTTGGTCTGTGTATTGAAAGAAAATGGCAATTCGAGATATTTTGTTTCCTGTACTGCAGTTTCATATTAATGTCAATTTCATGTACAACAATCTCCTGTACCAAATCAATCTCCTGTATCAAATTGAAATTATTGTTTCATGTACCTGTACATCAAACATGATTTGAATCGAATGATTCATGTACTACAGTAGTATATCATAACTAAATTTTGACAGCACCAATTGATATTCAGTGCCAAATTTTGACAACAATTGTGTGAACATCATAGCTAAAATTTGACAGCAACACGATGATATTCGGTGCAAAAATTTTAAATTTTGATAGCAAGAAAGTGATATTCAGTGCCAAATTTTGACAACATTTTTGTGGTCATCACAACTACAGTTTGACAGCAAGACAGTGATATTCAGTACCAAATTATTGACGGCAACACTATAAATAGGTCTAGTACATAACATGACAGCCAAATACTTAAGTTCAAGGTACATCACATCCAAATGTTCATTACATTAATAATAACAAGTCTGGTAATCAAAATAGTCCTCTAAGCAAAAGATCAAGTTCATTGATGAACTTAGGTGCATTTTCATCAAGTTCAGACATGAATGGTTCATTGACAGCATCCTCAGCTAGCTCCGCTTCATAGTCACATGATGTATCCTTCTCTCTGTGATCATCCACTTCTTTATCTATGTTTGTCTCGAACAAATCATCGTCCCCATCTCTATATCAAAGTCACTATCATAGAAATCCTCATCAGTCTCTAAATCTGCTGTTGCTGCGTCTACTCCACCTTCCTCCTCTATTTCTTCGTCACCACAACATGATGATGATCCTTCCCCAAATAACCTCCTTCCCCTCCTATCATTTGGCACACTTCTTTCCTAATCTTGGATATTTTTATCATTTAGCATAATGTCATCTCTCATAACTCTGTTAAGTGTCTCTCCATGGTCTACAATCAGCAACAAATTCTTGTGCTCTGTAGTTGTTGCTATCATTGCAAGGATGTCGGAAGCACACTTTATCTCTCTTAGTCCATCACCCAATGTCTTTCCCGACTGACACCAAAACACATCAAGCTTTACACTCTTTCTGTCATACCCTAGCTGCTGCAGAAAATCATCAATCCTTAGAATGGACCAAGTATCACTGTCACAGTTGTCAAACCAGTCAACTTCATAATCCTTGTATGTGTTGTTGCTGTCAGTTCCACAAAAGAAGCCTCTGCGATGAATCTGAACTCAGAAAAGACCATCAAAAGCACCTGCAATGCAAAGAAGAAGTAACTAGTTCACTCTTACCTCAGCTTACAACACACAACTTAGTAAACAAATTCTGAATGATGTTTAGTTAATAATTCATTTAGCATCAATAAATATGGATAAATAAGTGGTAAGAACACTATCTTAACAGCATAGAATTCACTTCATAAAACACTTGCAGTAAACAACCCAAAATTGATAAAACAAACAAATTATTGGCAGAGAGTCTCCCGCTGTGTTGGTAAGATAGACTCACACACGCACACAGGTTGCTCGGTGGAATTTCTGGAAGAAACAAGGAAGATCTAGCAGAGTAAGAAACAGAGCACACATACACACGAGCAACCTTTGGTACGAATGCCTTCCACTTTTTTCTGCCTACCAACTAATGGTTAGGGTTTGGGCAGGAAGAGATTCAGCTCGTCTATCAGGATGATTTTATGCCCCATGTCAATGAATGAAAGTCCGTTCTTTCGCAGATAATGAAAAAGAAAAAAGTGCCACAGGATGGATGGCTGTCATGGGGAGGAAGAGGTTCCTAGTGGTTCAGACGAGTTCTTGTCTTTACAGAGCAGAGTAGGGACATCTGAAGGCTGAGTGGCTCTGCAGCTGTGAGCTACGGGTGTGATAAATTAAGGTAAGGCTCAATTGCATAATGCACACCAAAGATCTCTGTAAGCATATGCCAGGAGTTAATCTTCCATCATATAAAGAATGTGTACCAAAGATTTGAAGGCAACATCATATACGGGTGTGTATGTCTGCTCTGTTTCTTACAAAATTGTCCAGGCAACAAATGCCCTTTGCTTGCTGGCTGCTTACAGAAACTCACCCAACAAGTACTGACTAGCTTACACTATGCACGTACATACATGGTCATTGATCAAAATTGAGTGTGTACCTACTAGTCAAAATTCAGTTAAGCAAGTGTCAAACAATTCAGTTAAGCGTCCAACATTCAGTTAAGCATCTGTCAAAAAGTTCAGGAATGCTACTGCCATCAAGTTCAGTAATGCTACTGTTAAATTTTCAGTATACCTACTTCATATTTCTAATAAGATCAAATTGACCATCCTCTATGTCACCAAATCTGCATTTTTTTGTCCATCACAAATACCAAAAAAGAGGTGCCTTTCTAACGCACGCATTACCTAAGAACAAACATCAGTTTCAAATCCTAAAGTGTCATTGTGCATTAGGGGAATAACCTAAACACAACTAAGAATCATCACAGCAGCACCATGACATACAGATCCTAGTTCCTGTCGCGCCATACATACATTTAAAACCCTATAGAAACCAGGAGACAGAGGGGCAGAGGAGACGACGCAATTCTCACCATATGGAGGAGCTGCATCTCCGAGAGCTCGCCGATGAGGCGCCGCCATTCGCGCCCGCGACGATCAATGGTGCCGTCACGATCCACCCAGGTGGCGGCACCGAACGATCGAACTAGGAGAGAGACGACGAGAAGAGCCCGAGGCAGATCATGACACAGGCGGGATGTTAGGATATGGGCCGGCTGCTGTGTCCCACCGGCTCAGGGGCTTATGTGTGAAAAATAAACAGATCAAAGGGGGTTTCTGTGATATTTCACCCAGCCGCGTGGCCACATGCCTCTGTGCGCGATGGCACTAGCTGACATTGGGTCCCGCAGCCACGCTGGCATCTAGTCAGCAGCGCGGACGTATGAAAACGTGATTCGGACTGTATTTGCATCAGAAAGCCAAGTTTTTGCACCAAATCGGTGTATTCTTCAAGTTCGTGCACTAAACTAAATATTGGTAGCAAGTTTAGACACCATTGGTGTAATTACCTTTATTTTAAAGGTTGGGGTTCAGATAAATTTGGTCATGCTAAGAAGCTAAAGGAAAATCTTAGGGGGTGTTTGTTTCCAGA